AAGGGTAGCGGTCGTACGCCAATTACCATGTTTCTCTTTTATTAGTGTAGATATATATATATAATTTTTTTTTAAAGTAAATCCTACCCCCTCCTCTTTCTATTTCCCCATTTTCCACTCCCACTCTCTGACCATATCAGCTTTCTCTTCTTTTCATTTTTCCCTCCACCCTCAAAGTAAAATATACAAGACATGCTAAGATGGGGAGAATATATCCATGTTCATGTTTGGACAATGCTGGGGAAGAATAGGGGCTTTTTCCTTCACCCCAATTTTTGCCCCCATACTGAGCTGAAACATTCTTCATCTCATACCCTTTAAATTGTTCAGCCTTATTTTCCCCAAAGCCGTTTTGGGTTAATCAATGGCTGATGCTCTCCAGGTCTCTCTCACTACCTACAAGAGTACCTTATATTTCTTTTTATGCCTATGGCAGTGGGGAGAGAACCTGGTTAGATAGCTGATTTAAAAAAAATCAGAATAATTTGCCCATAACATTAAAATCCTATTAGTGAACAATGTTGTTTTGGTAAGAAGTGCCACTTTAATTCAAGGCAACATAGTCCAGATGTGAACATACATCTGCTGCCATTTCCTAATCCAGGAAGTGAGATCAGAAGGTCATTTGATAGAAAATAGCTTTGTCAATACCAAGCTTAATACATGGCTGTGGCTGTGTTTTTCTCCTATTCTGAAGCACAAATGGATTTTGTAAAAAATGCTCTGGGAGATGGAGGTTAACATTTTTCAGAACTTTAATGAAATTCCTGAACTTGCTTTTCTCAGGATAATAAGAAGACTCAACCTCAATGGAAGAGCCATTTAGAAAAATATATGCAGGCTTCCTAGCTCTGCAAACACTAACGGGGAGAAATGGGAGTAAATTAATGGATTTATCTTCATGTACCCAAGTGGTTGAACCAATGTTGCTCAACTTTTATGTCACTCATATACTGTGTGTTAGAGTAGGGGAATGACTTTAAATGGCTCCCCGAATTTTGCTTTTTATGGACAGCTTAAGGGTATAAGAAATTTTGCACTCATAGACTCTAGAAGTAGTTGGGTTAATTCAAAATACATTTATTAACTGCTGACAACATGTCTAGCATCATGGGTGACTCTCAGAAAATAATTCTGAAGCCCTAGTCCATTTTTCCAGTAAGCTTATTACTAAGTGTATTAGTTTCCTAGGACTACAGGACAAACTGGATGGTTATAACAATATAAATTTATTTTTTCACAGATCAGGAGGCCAGAAGTCCACAATCAAGATGTCAGCAGCATTGGCTCCTTCTGGAGGATCTGAGGTAGAAACTGTCCCAAGCCTCTCTCCTAGCTTCTGGTGTCTGCCAGCAATGCTTGTTGTTACTTAGGTTGTAGATGCATTACTCCAATTTCTGCCTCCATCTTCACACACCTTCTGTGTCTCTATATCTTCTCCTCTTCTTATAAGGATACCAATCTTTGGATTTACGGTCCACCCATACTCTTCGAAAAGGTCTTTATAGAGCTTATGCTTACGGTTTTTTCTAGGTCTCTTGCCAATGGCACTGAACCACCTTAGCTAAAATGGCTATCCTCTGTATTGATTTCCTTGTTTTAATCTTGGATTATTTTGCGCTTACGGTTTTTTCTAGGCCTCTTCGCCAATGGCACTGAACCACCTTAGCTAAAACGGCTATCCCCTGTATTGATTTCCTTGTTTTAATCTTGGATTATTTTGATTCATAACAAAATACCTAAGATTACATTATGTACTTATTTCCTTACTTGTTTGTGTTCAGAATCCTCCTCTAGAATTTTTGTTACATGAATATATGGACTTACTCTATTTAGCTTACTGATATCTCATTAAAACCTTAATGAGACCTTAAAGCTTGGAACATAATAGGTCCTCAGTTAGAATTTGCTGAATGCATGAATGAGTCTAAGACCTATTTTCACATAACCCTCCAATATTCCATGAATTATCGCTGAACAGTGTAACATGATTTATATCTCACAAACTACAATTCTGTAAGGCAAAAAGGCTTGCTATAACAAGGTTAGCAAATAATATTGGCATTACTTTTTGCTGCAATCCAATCTAAAAATCTGAATTCCACTCAGATTAATTCTTCTAATGACAGTACCCATGTTTTGGTTTATGATCTAAAAGAACAATTGACCTGAGATATTCCTTATTTAAAAAGATTAATTAAGGTAATTTTTTTTTGTCTTACCAAGTTACCTCATCCAAAAGGGAAAAGTTACATTTAAATGGGAACAGGAAAAAATTGCACCCCAAGGGGAAAATTGCATAATGGGGAGAAAGTTCCTCAATGGCAAAAGAAGGGAAATCTGTGTGACTAATGCATTTAAGAGTGTGAAAGAGAACTCCATATATTTTTAAAAGTAACCGATGGAGCCTTATTCTTTCCTAATGTCATTTGAGTAACCGGTAGAATTTCCAGGGTCAACAGGAGGAAAGTTAAGTAATTTGTCATGATGGAATTTATTCAGAAGGCAGGAAAAAGTGAACAAGGGAGAAAAGTACATTAATAATTTGTCCTTTTGATGAGTAGGACCCAAAATGCACTTTCTGAAAAGAACAGGAGAAATATTATTCTCATTGTAAGCTAAGTTTTACTCTCTAGTTTTTCATTAGACTGACACAGCGAAGTATTTCTGTGAGAAGTTATATGCTTGCCTACGTTTTGTTTTAAAATCGTTCAGGGGCAGGGGTGGTCGTGGTGGTTATGGATAAAGCAAAATTGCCCAAACTGGAAATCTATCTTGCTATTTTCTCTACTTTTGTATATCTTTGAAAGTTTCCACACTAAAAAGTATAAATAACGACAACAAAAAATATCTGGGATTTACACTGAGTTTTCAGGATGCCACAAAAATAAATAAATATATAAATAAATAGAACCACCAAAATGATAAAAACAAACAAAAAAATCCCACCAAACTCCTCTTACCATCTGTAATAGTTTTCCTTGGTCCCCACTCCCAGAGGATGTTAATGACTGAGCAGGAGAAAGGAAGAACCCTTGAAATTAATTGAGGAGAAAAAGGAGGAGGAGAGGGCCTTAGCCACTGCTTAATGGCCAGATGCAATTTTTGTAGCATCGGTAAGTGGCCTCTCAATGGAAACCTGGACCTGGAAGTGTTTGCAGCCAACTCCCCGATTCCATCTTTGTGCTCTGGCTTCTGATTTGCTTTCTCTCTTCCTCATCGAGTCTTTTTCTCTAGAGAGAATCTGTACCTTTTCTCCTAGGTTATATCCACCTCAGAAGGCTACTTCCTTTTAGCTCTGGCCCTGATCTACTTCTGGTTTGACAGGCGATTCCTCTCTAACCATCTCTTGCTTAGACAATTCCGTTGCAGACTTTGCCTGATATCACCTTCTGATTCCTCCCTAACCATCTCTTGGTTAGACAGACAATTCCGTTGCAGACTTTGCCTGATATCACCTTCTCCAGCCACATTTGTTACCTAGACTAGGAGGGGAATATTCATCCGAGGGCTCATCATACACTCCATCTCTTCAACAGCTAGGACAGGAGTAAAGCCCCCATGGGCAGCTATAGATACAGAAGGCACTCAAAATATCTAGCAGCTGGCACAGCAAGGACGCCAATCATTGCTTAATTCTGGAACAGACGCTGTCAACGCCTGGCCTGGGCTTACCACTGACAGCTCCCTTAATGTCAGCCCTGCAGCTGGGGCTCCCCAGATTTTCAAATAGTACATTCCTACTGGAAACTGGAATTCCACTTTCAATTGATTAAACAGCAGGTCAGAAGAACATTCCATAAACAATCATAATCATTTATGAGAAGCTAGAAATTTCTTCCCTTCTAGTAGGTTTAGCAGTGGATGCAGCCTTGATATAGTTAATGAAACTTTTAAGAGATTTTATGTGATAAGGGAGGAATTCTGAAATTCCTTCCTAAACAATCTAGTGGAATGACTTCAACTCCTATCTAGCTTATCGGGTGATGACAATGTTCTAAAGGAGGTATGATCAAACATGCATTACACTGTCGGCCTATGTTTGCTCAGAATTATACAACACTTCTATAATTAAAAAGTAACGCAACTCATTCTTTTTAAGTACACACTGACATGTACCTTCCCACATGATTACTTCCGGACAACACAATTTGATGTCTGAGCCATATTCTGTAGCTCCTCTTGGAGAATTTCACGTAGATCCTTTGAAAGGTTTGTGATCATAGTGGCAAGTTGTTTCACTGTGAAGATAGATTTACATTTTTTAAAAAACAACTCTATTATGAGTTCCATTTGTCCGTAAGTGGCTCAACTCCAAAGTAGCAACATCTCAGACTAGATAGTTGATTTTCCTCTCTCTCAAGAATCTGGGCTGTATCATGGTTCTGCTCTGCAGAGTCTCTAGGGGGCCCAGGCCCCCTCTATTTTGTTGATCTGTCATCCCCATAATACCATTGGCTGTTTCAAGATGGCTCACTATCCAGTATGGAATATACCATTGGGCAGAATCTGGTCATATGACCATGCCAGCTAGCTGTGTGGCAGAGACTCTATCCTTATTCTTGGTGGTCATGTACTACAATATCAGTTAAATATCAGGAAGGTTATTGTTACAGAAAATGGGGTGAACTATTGGGTGATGGCAGGAAACTTGAATAATATATATTTGATTAAAAAAATACCCTCCCCCAATCTAGAATGACAATATTGTAATCACTGGCTTTTATGTGCATGTGTGTATATTTACATGTGTGCATGCAGATTTGTGTGAGAGAGAGAGAGAGAGAGAGAGAGAGAGAGAGAGAGAGAAAGAGAAACTCTTGAAAGACTGATAAACTCTTCTCAAACAGAAGCTCAAAAGTCTTGAAGGGCATCTTTGAAATAAGTCTATAACCTCCCAAGGCGATGACTGTGGAGAGGACATCAATAATTTGAACTCTTACTGCCTACTGTGTTTGTACTTTATACAAATTACATGAGGATGAACCTCATACTCTGTGTATTGGGAACATGACATAATTTATACCTGCATAACCAGATAGGTAGTTAACAAAGAACTTCTAAATTTCCTCATTAGAATAAGTAATCATGACTGTAAACAGCTATCAGTATGATTACAGGGTTTAGTGATATCTGTGAATGATGCAAGGTTGATTTGGGGGGAATGGTCTCTCCTTCTCCCCCTTTGCTTTGCCTTCACTGCTGTTTAGTGCTATCCTTTTAATCAGCCTTGATTGCTTTGCTTTGTTAGGAGACTTGCTTAGGGACTCCTCAGAGGCACATTGTTGGTGGGAAACAGCTGTTCTTCCTAGCTCAGACTGACTGGAGTTATATATAGTGACGATAATAAATTGCCTACACATACGCACACAACACAGGGGACCCACTGATGAAAATTAGTGTTTTATGCACGTGTAATGCTTTCCTTTGATTGCATTTACAAACATTCAGCTTACCTCTCCTCTCTAGCTGCTGCAATGGACCTACTCAGCTCACAGAGGGAGCTGAAGTCCCCTCCTCAAGATTCCCTTGCAATTTACTACTTAACACATTTACTGTTTAAGTTGCCCCTTCCAGTTCTGTTGTGGTAGAAAAACCATTCAGACCTCCAGGCTTTTCATTTTGCTTCTATTCTGTGAATATAAAGCAATTTCTAGATAAATTCACTTCCAAAAATGCAAGGTGTGTGAAATTAATATGTTTGTAAAATTCAGCCATATTTTCTCTTCCTATGAGGCACCAGTGACTGTAAAATTACTTTAAAAGTCTTGATTACCATTGGGAAGAAATATTTAACTAGATCCTTATTGATGAGTTTGATAATAGTTGTTTGCGTAAAATAGCAATGCAAGTTTTTTCCCTGATCATATAGAATTTGAAATAATCATATACTAAAAATGAAGACCACTTATTTTAAATAACATATAGTGTCATTTTAAAGCACCCCTCCCTTTCCCCCAGTGCCATGTATTTGCTTGTGGTGTCAGCCTAATTAGGTCTTGTATATACAATGACAAATGTCCCCTCTCACTGCCAAATGGAACATCTCAAAAGCAAAAAAAAAAATGATTGTTCACCACACTGGCCTTTCAGTAACAACCTATTTTGAAGTTGACAGTTGTATTAAAGGGCATGATATTCACACTCTGGCAAGCATTTTTCAGAGTCTCTGGTTTTTATTTACCTTTGGGTCTTCATATTAACGTTCCTGGATTTGCATATCCTTATGCTAACTTTTCATTGGCATAGAAGAAAATCCTGTTATTTTTCCTTTTTGCATTTTGGACATCACAGCATCGTCTTTATT